GACTCCCCCCTTCAGTGGAGAACGGGTTTGGGGCCAAACGCCTCGATTTGTGCAATTGGTTTTGGCGGGAAGCTTCGGCGCTTCATGTTCCATGGAAAATTCAGCACTTGGCAGGTGGCCAATGTGCCGAAATCCATGGATTTTGGGGGCTGGACAGGTCTTGGGGGGGTGGTGTATTATTTTATGGGGTTTTGGTTCGGTTTTTCCTTTTCTTTTTCTGTTCCTCTTTTTTTTTTTTGCTTTTTTTTTTTTTTAATTTTCTTGGAGCTGGAGGGGCACCGCATGTTTTCCTACCCTCCCCCCCAGAAAAATCCAGGCGTGGGTGTGCCCAGCTGAGGTGGGACACATAGGGAGGCATGGAAATGAGGAACTGGCGGAGGGCTGGGCAATGCCTACAGAATTCTGCCTCCTGCCTATTTCCCGCTGGACAAAGACCCTCAGATGGAGCCATAACGGGAACCCCCCTCCTATCCACCCAAATAACGAGGCTGGGCGCATTTGCGTGTGCTTAATTTGGGTATTTATTGACGTTGACCTCTTCTTCTTGCGATGCCGCTTTGATGGCGCTGGGTTTTCTTTTGATTTTGCCGAGAGAGAAGTGTGTGTGTGTGGGTGGTGCTGGAAAGGGTTAAACTGAGGCATTCATCCCGAAATTCCTCATTCGTCCTTTCAACTCCTTCCGGTCTGTAACCGCGCGCAGATCACTGACCCCAAAACACCGCGATTCGAAGTCCCCCATGAGCACGTGGCACCTTTCAGCGGCCAGGGAGCCTCCGACTTAAAATATAAAGTTGACGTCCAGCAAAATCCCTTCGGCATCACGGTGACGCGAGCAAGCAATGGAAAAGTTTTGTGAGTAAATTTGGGGGAGGAGGGAGGGGCCTTTTTTGAGCTGTTGAATTACGGAGCCACCCGCTTGCTCGGGAGGTTGGTGTTGCTTCTGGGGGGGGCCTCTTGGGCCTGGGGAGCACTTCTTCCCAGGGATAAGTGGGGTCATAGAATCATGGAATTATGGAATGCTTTGGGTTGGAAGGGACCCCCAGAGGTCACCCAGCCCAACCCCCCTGCAGGAGCAGGGACACCTTGAACCACATCAGGTTGCTCACAGCCCCGTCCAACCTGGCCTGGAATGCTTCCAGGGATGGGGCCTCCACCCCCTCTCTGGGCAACCCCCG